GCTAGACCAGAGCAGGTACACTGGTACAGACAGATAAGAGTTCGAAACACCAGGAGTCCAGGACAGAGAAACCCCTCAGGAACAATAAAGAGTAGCGATACCAGGAGGGGAGGAAGGTGGGGGGAGATAGGGGGGACCGATGGCAATGATTGACATATAACCCCTCCTCGGGGGACGGAAACAGAAAAGTGGATGGAGACAGCAGTCGGTGTAAGACATAAAAAAAAAAAATAATTGATACATTTTCAAGGGTTCATTGGGAGTTGGGGGTGGTGGTGAGCTGATTATCAAGAGATCAAGTAGAAAATGTTTTGAAAATGATGGCAACCTACATATGTACAAATGTGCTTGACACGATGGATATATGTATGGATTGTGATAAGAGCTATAAGAACCCCCAATAAAATGATTACAAAAAAAGACTTAAATGTGTTGCCTTTGGTACGATGGATTGATTCAAGATGCAGGATGATATGCTGGGAAACACCAGGGAAAAAGGCAAGGAGCAGCTAGACCACCCTGGTGAATGTTCTGAAGAGAAATGCCATCCTCATTCCCAAGGCTCAGCCAGCCAAACAGAACCTCCCGTGAGTGGGCATTACCCGACTGGCAAAATGCCAGCATCCGCCAACTTTTTGTTCCCCCTCTCAGAGTATCCTTTTATGATTTTTGTTTTTGTGTTAAAATATATTTGCAAGTTTACATGTAGTGTGTCCAACTGCCAAAGACAAAGATCAGATTTATACAGCTTCTGATAATAATGAAAGCTAAAGAAGCCATCTACTTTCATCAGGACTTAGAGAGACACTGAAGGGATCCTGTCCTAGATCAGGGACTAGTTACACATTAAAATTTCCCCCCAATTTAACCCTCTATAGAGGAGCCCTGGCTAAGCAAGGTCTGTAGTTTGAAACCACCAGCTACTCCTGGGAGAAAAGCAGGGCTTTTCTACTCCCCTAAAAAGTTACAGTTTCAGAAACGCAAAGGTTGCGTTCCACAGGGTTGATACGATTCAGCATCCACTCAATGGCAAAGAGGTTGTTTTTTATTGAGAGTTAAATGACCGTCCCCTAAGTGACTTATGCTCCCCTAGAGGAAGTCACCATATAAACATGGAAACAGAAGTCCCAGGGGGCAGAGCAAACAAACGAGCAGCTACCTAGTGCCAGGGTCCACATGGACCATTGAAGGTAGGTCAGCGGACGTCTGTCAACAAAACAAACCAAGCTCACTGCTGTCCAGTCCACTCTGATTCACAGCCACACTGGGATCCCTGGTAGCAGTGTGGGCATGCGTTGAGCTCAGCCACAAGGTCGGCAGCTGGAGCCCACCAGATGCTCCCCGGGAAAAAGACTTGGCTTTCTATTCTCCCCATGAATCAGTCTCGAAGTCCGCAGGGGCAGTTCTACTCTGTCCTGTAGAGCCACGACCAGGAAGCGCCTATCAAAACTAGGATAACAACTTCGGACTTTCGTGGCCATGTACGACTGGGTCACTATGGTGCCAGAGAGCCCATAGGTGGTGTACAAGGTGGCCGATGTCCCAAGAAAATTTTATGGATGTTGACATTCAAATTTCATACCATGTTGCCATGTCACACAATTATCTTAAAATGTTTTCTTCTCTACCCATTTGCAAATGTAGAAGTCATTCCTCACCCACAGGTGGTACCCAACAGTGGGGGGTAGTTTTGGCCACTGGCTGCAGCGCCGGCTCTGGTTCCAATGACCACACGGCATGTGTGCAGGAGGGCCCAGAGGGCCCTTCCTCCAGGAATCTTAAGAACTTGTCAGCCCAACGGTAACTGCCAAGCTGCACTCTCAGGTACATTTGGCACACCACTTCATTTATTCAAAAGTATTTATTTCCACAAATTTTCATTCACAGCTGAGTAGTATAGTTAAGGATTACAAGCATTTTTCTATAAACAAAGGTGTACTTTACAGATTTGTTCCAAGTGGAAAAATATTTTCATCAGTATAATTTCTTCTATACTGTCCAAGTCACCCCTTAATGTATGACCGTTCAGAGGATCAGTCCTTCATGTAAACATCGGTAGGCAAAGTTACATCCAAACTTGAATGATGCTGACATGACATCACTTTAGGAAGTAGCAGGACTCATCTCTGATGGTTCCCCATGGTTATCAGAAAAGGTTGATTGGAAACACAACGCTTAGTGTCTAATGAGCTTTGTAACAAGAGAGACCAAAGAGCTCCACTGTTTTCATTGGCATTAGCTTAGCCTTCTGGACCACCTTTGCTCTCTAATGGTGGCACGGATGTACACAAAAAGTGACTCTAGTGATGCTTGGCTCATGCAACAAATGGATTTGAGCAACCTTACAGAGGAATAGAGACTACAGGATCCTACCCCATGCTGCCGTTGCCTGTTGGTCACCACGGAGTCCTGCAGGCACCCTGCAAGTGCTTCAACTAGGGATGCCCTGGCCGCCATAGGATTAGGCCAAGAGTACACACACCACTTATATGCAGAAGCAATGGGTTCTGACTTACTGTGTGGCTGATCATTGCAAGGCATTAAGGCCTTCAGAGTGAATGTTTGATGATGAACTGATGGTAAGGTTTTTTTGTCCCCTAAATCTTTCAAGACCTTACCATCAGTTCATCATCAAACATTCACTCTAAAGGCCTAATTCCTGCAGCTCTGATGGCCCTGGGAGAATTCACGTAGGCAATACACTTGTCAGCTCTGGCAACCATTATTCATGGCTGTGTACACAAGACATGATTAGAGGAAAACATATAATACTTAAAACACAAGTATTTGATCTATAAATAATTGATTCATAAATCCTCTTCAAAATGCTTTTCAAGGTTTCAAAAGATAAATTAAGAACGTTTCAAACAACAAATCAAACTGACAGGATGCTATGTTGAACATGACAGTCCTTCCCTCAACAACACTCACTGCAGAGAAATAATTGATACATCAGTTACCTTGGTAACAGTGCAAGGCACATAGTAGGAAAAGTGGTCAAGACTTTTAAGAAACCAAGACAGATTTCGAATGCAGAGTTCAAACTGCTATATTGAATTTCTTTAAATTAAAAATCATGACTGATTTCATGAGGTGGGAACATGTGAGTTGAAGTGCCTTAGAAGACGCAGACACTAAAAGTACTAACAAAACTTCTCGCTTCCAAGTGTTAAATAGGACAGATCCACATAGTAAATAACCAATACCCTTCTCTGTGGTCTACAAGAGCATGCATGCCTTTGAACCAAGCACCGCTCAAGTGAAACACAGTGATCTCTTGGAAGAGGCGGTCAAACTGCCCTTGCCGAGGCCAAGCAGAGGACCGCCTATCAGTGTCCTCCTAGCCTCCACTTATCCGACTGGTGGAGCTTTGGATTTCCAAGTCCTGACACCTGGTGACAGCAGTGATTCAGAGAACGCTGGTGTGAGATCCTACTGAGGAGAATACGGACACTGCTCATCAAACTTGAACACTTAACTTATTTTTCCCCAACATGATGTTTTTGGCCATCTTGAAGATTCAGGACAGTCTTTACATACAAGACTCGGTTTTTAAACTAAAGTACATCAAAAAGCCAAACAAACAAATTACCTCTCAACAGACAACTCTGAAGAGGTAGCCACTGACCCAATTGTTTTAGACTGGCCATCCAAGTCGGCATGTAGCATTTGTCCCATGAAGGGACACTTCTAGTTCAATCTATTGGAGGAGGACGCCCTGGAGAAGGCAGGATAGGCTGTTGACCGTGGAGAGAAGGGACAAATCCATTGCCAGTGAACGGGGGTCAGCAATTTTAACTCAGGTGCTGCATTGTTCTGGGTCCACCAACCTAAAACAAAAGCCAAAAAAAATCCAAATTCACTGCTGTTGAGTCAATTCCGACTCACAGTGACCCTATAGGACAGGGTAGAACTGCCCCCATGAGTTTTTGAGACACACAGTAGGAAGGCCCATCCTTCTCCCTCAGAGCTGGCTGGTGTTTGGAACTGCTGACCTTTGGGGTCACAGTCCAAGGTGTAACCTCTGTGCCACCAGGGCTCCTCAGCTTGAAGAGGATGAATGAGGAGAAAGCCACGATGTGAGGCCCAGCGGAGTGAGTGTTTGGGGCTTGGAATGTGTTGTGTTTGCAAGGGCCTTTTAAGTTGAGCGAAGAAGAGGTACTAGGAGGGGCTGGTGGAGTTCATGGAAGCGAGAGGCTGCTTGCTCTTCTTTGATCTGCAAACATCATCTGCTCCTGTCACAGGGCCAGCATCCAGTGGTCATCTCCCGGAAATGCAGAAAAACAAAGGACGGGCATAAAGACGAGGCAGCCCTTTCTGACCGAACGCCTCCTTTTGAAAAGAGGCCACAGGGTACAAAGTAGCAAACGTCTAAGCCTGTGGTCTAAGCCTACTACCACGGAATATCCTGTTGTTCTTTTTAAAAAAAATCTATTTCATAGCAGAGATATCTAGAATGATTTTACATAGCATATTTGAAAATAATCTGGAGAGGAAAGGTGACACAGCTGGTTTTTTAGCCTCTGAGTAATAATTTAGTAATCCCAGAACTGATTCCTTGCACGGTTTCCTATGCCATGTTGTTCTCAGCCGCCACACGCTGCCGCCCCATACTCTCAGGCACTGGAACCAGGAGTGTGTAGGTGGTGCCCGACTAGAGGGAGGCGGGGTTCCAGGCCCTCACACTGGCGGGACTCTGCACATCTGTACACAAAATAGGGTTTTCCTCCTTTGACTAAACACGTGGTTGACATACACACCAGCGGAGGCTTTGCTGGGCTTTCGAGCATGGACTCTACTCCGGAGCAGCTAGGCTTTCCATCTGGCCCACGTCTGAAGGTGGGCTCGGCAGTGTTTGAATACACCGCTTCCACTTACCCGAGACGAACTTCGTAGAGAGGTGTGAGCACTGCGGGGCCTGGGTTTTCCTCATTTTCTTCAGAAACCAGGACTCACGGCCTTTGGTCTGAAGGTCATTATCGCAGCCATCTCTACCTCACCAGACCGTCCCAAACACCTTTGGGAAGCCTCTCAGAAACCTCGCCACAAGTCCATCGGCCTCCTTGCCTGGGGTGGGGGTTGGGGTGCATGTGTCCACCACAGCTCTGAGCACCATCACTCCTTAACCGTCCTCTCGGGACAAGGTACACAGCGCAGACATGTCCACTGTGATCTGAATCTGGAGCTTCTCCAGTTATCTGCAAACACCCAAACGAGGCAGGCGGCTGCCATTTCCTGAGCCGGTGGCACATTTTGATGGCAGCCAGGAGTTAGGAGGTGGACTTGGGCAAGCTGAAAATCTGAGACACGAAAACCTCCCGTGTTTCAAGTGTTTTATTCTGAGCCGTACGTACAAAATAATAATATTAATAATAAGGACACAGCCACGTCTCCTTCTGTAGAGTTCTCCGCAGACCCTCGACCTCCAGCTAATGCTGACCCTTGAGCCCGATCCACTGTCCCGCACGCCCTTCCGGGGCCGGGCCAGGCATGGGGTCGGCCCCTTCAGACTTCATTGAGGAACTCTAAGTGGAGCCCCGCGGGGATGTGGATGGAGTCCATGGTCAGCGAGGAGGGGTTGAAGGGAAACAGGACCGGAAACATGTGCTTGGAGTCCAGCAGCAGCTGCTGAGGGTCGTTCCTCTCTTGGAGCTGTGCCTGTGGGGAGGGAGAGGGGAGACGTGGTCAGGACCCACGCCACCCAACAGGGCCGCTTCTGGGGAAGTCTCCAAGGCCAGCTGGCACCTTATTCCGGTGCAACTGCCGTGAAGGTGGCCGGGCAGGACGCCAGGACCAGGAGCTGTGGTCTCCCCCACTAGCCCAGAGGGACGCCTGGACCAGCAGTGACCCTGGATCTCCGCTTGTCTAGACCGTCTGGAAAACACTGGCCACATGCAGGTGGACAGAGAAAGCTCCCCAGAAAGACTGAGCAGCTCAGACGAAACTGGGGGCCCTGACTCCGGTGACTGAGGAAGATTCCAAACCTGACCAAACCACCCTTCAGAGCCGGCTCACGGACCCTTACCCTCCACCCTCTGTGCTCATTCTTCACAGTTGCCTGTGACCCAGCAGGTTTCTGACTGGCTGACCTATGGCCGGAATTCTCTTCCAGTAAACAGTGCTGTGGCCAAGTCAGCTACCGCTCTCCCTCAGGTTAATATGTGTCAGAGTTAACATGACTCAGCCAACGTGCCCTTTGGTGTGTGTGCACTGCCAGCTCTCCTGGCAGCAGGTGTAGGTACAGGGTCCGACAGCCAAGGGGCTTCTTTTCTGTCTGTGGCATCTGAAAGCAGGTGGCGAGATTGGCACCTTCAGGAGAGCCGTTCACTCACCCCTTCTTGGTCTGGTCTGCCACTTTCAGAGGGGGCCGGTGAGGCCAGGTTTGAAGGACTTGGCTTGCCTACTTGGGTTGTGTGCGTACATACACATGCATGACATGCATTTATATGCGTGTGTTTATATTGATGACACTTATGGCAAAGCCTACAAACAGTTGTCACGTTTTCACCCCAGCCATATTTCAACGTCCGTGACAGGAAGTGCATTAACCTTCACTGCTACCTCTTTCCCCAGTTGTTTTGTTTTTTGTCACCTCAAACCAAAGTATGGAGCAGCCCCTCCCCACTGCCCCCTCCCTCCAGCCCTCGTAACTTTGGATCGACTTCGTCTCTTTCGGCTTGCCTGTTCTGGACACCTCGTCTCAGTGTAATCCTGTAGTAGCGCCAAGAAAAGCTTAAACAGCCTTGACAAGAGTGAAGCCATTTTGAGGCGACAGAAGCCATTATGAACTAGCTATGAACGAAAAATGAACTAGCTGATATTAGGGACGCAGGCTGTGCTGACAAGTGCAACGGAATGTTGCAGAAGGCTTGGAAGAACTAAGAGCAGTTATTGTTTGACGAAGAATGGCTAACTGCCATATCCTGCTTCTGTTCTCTGCTTGCTTGCGAACCTGCACTTGCAACAGTATAAAAACCTCTGGAAAAGTAAACGGGGGACCGCTCAGTCTACTCTCGAGAGGGCCGACGGTCCCTGTGCAGGATATAAACCATTTTCTTTTGAACTTGTCGGCAGTCTGGGCTGTTTTCTTTCTGGAAACGGACAGTAGGCTACAACAATCTGATCATAAACACACGTCCCACTGTGTGGACGTCTAGTTTCCCAGGCTCCTTTTGCTGAAGCACTATATCTTTATTTTTATTTTTTTTAACCATTCCTTTATTGATGGCCTTGGTGCCCTTTCCCAAACCCATTGGCCATATATGAGAGAATCTCAAAAAGTTCATGGGAAATTACTTCGTATTATCTTTCAGTCCTTCACCCACCCCCCCACCCCCCACACACACACTTTTGAAGTCCCCTCACGCACGAGGGTTTACTTCTGGCCTCTAGACTCCATTCCACGGGTCTATGTGTCTTTCAGTGCCACACTGTGGGAAGCAGAGAGGTCATTCCCCAGGTTGTCCCCCCATAATACATGCCAACCCTAAGCGGCTGCCTGCTAACACATGGTCAATGACCATACACCTGGAGGTCGGCTGCTTAAAGGTTATCTCCCTGAGGGTTATCAGCCATCTAGAGCAATCAGACCCTATAGTCCCACCCTAAGTAGGACTCACTCCCTTCTGATAAGGATAATGGATTGTTCCCCTGCAGGAGAGCCCAAAGACTAAGGTCAAGCCAACTCAGGGAGGACCAAGGTTAGGCTGCCATCTTGACTTTAGAGTCTGCCCATCTTGTCACATGTATACCCCTCGTGCCTCCCCCTTCCTATTGCATGCACACCCCTAGCTCCGGTCCTCTCCTATTGCATGTATGCCTATGGTACAACCCCTTCCTGTTATGATGCAATTAGGGGGGCTTGCATGTCCCCTACGTGTATATTAGAAATATATTCGCTCTCTCTGTGCATCTGGCTGCTGAGATCATGGCTGCCCCAGAGGTGAGCAGTCACATGCCTTCTCTTGTTTGATGTCTCTTTCATTTTACCCCTCAGTTACACAACCGCCCCTTGGACCCATTCGATTGTGTGGGCTGTTACCCCACGCCACATTGTTTTGATAACTCTGGCTTTGCACTAAGTTTTGAAATCAAGCAGTACGAGTAGACCAACTTGGACGTTCTTTTTTCAGGATTATGTCTATTTGGGGTCTCTTGATATTCCTTGCGAACTATCAGGTGGGTTTTTCCAAATCTGCAAAAGCTCTCATCATTATAAGCTTTCCAATGATCACATTGATTCGCATCATCATCTTAACAATAGCAAGATTTGCAGCCTTGGAAACCTTATCAAAGATTACTATGAGCGAGAACCTGCTCAATGGCAGTGGGTTTGGGAACCCAGGCACACTGGCTACTTCCCCACTTATTTGGGTCCTTCTTTAATTTCTTCCCGCAGAAGCGCCCATGGCGTGGTGGTGACGAGTCGGGCTTCGATCCGTGTGGTCAGCAGCTTGAAGCTCTGGGAGAAGGACTGAGCTTTCTGTTCCCATAAGCAGTTACCCCTCAGAAAGCACAAGGGTCACTACGAGTCAGCACGCGCGCAATGGCAGTGAGTTGGGGCTTTCTTATTTTGGGTAATTTCTTTCAGCAGTGTTAAGTAAATACGTTTTAACCACGTCTCGCACCTCCTTGGTTAACCTTATTCCTGAGTGCTTTGTTCCTTGTGGTGTGATCACGAATGGACGTGCCTCGGTTTCCTTTTCAGACTGTTCGAGAGTACAGAAATTCAACTGATTTTGGTGTGCTGTTCTCAATCTAAGGAGCATTCTGCGGTACTTCTCCTAAGACAGCCCACTGTGTTCCATATTCTTTGCCCTTGGATTTCAGTAGCCTTTTCCTCCATCAAACATTCCTGAGCCAGATTCCAGAGTTCCAAAACAATAGATTTTGATAGGTTTTTTTTCTCCTAAGCCCTAAAGTTGCACTTGTCACCACTTTCCGAGACACCACTTTGGGTCTCCTAATTTGGGCATCTTCGCGCCTGCTTCTCTCTGTAGTCTGTGTCTTTAACCGCCTGCCCTTTGCACTGCCCTTAAGAGAGCCACCTTCAGTCTGCCTTGGCATCGTTTTCTCAAGTGTTGGCCTCTCTTCCTACAAATGACGCAAAAGCGAATTTACTCTTTGGAAACTTGCGGTTCAAGGTCTACGGCTTTGGTGCCCCACACTGAAACACGGCAAGACTCTCTGCATAAACTCTCAGGAGTGTTTCAGAGGAAACAGCTTCCTGTATAAAGACCCCATATCTTCTCCAGCATCTTCAATGCATGTGATAAGCCCTTTCCTCACGCCTCCCCTCCACCGATCACATTCTTCTCCTTTTTTATACTTGTCTTGTGCTGGGTAGGCACGGGACTGCTAATTATAGGGTTGGCTGTTCAAAACCACCCACTCCTCCTCTGAGATGAGGCTGTCTGTCCCCAGGAAGACTGACAGCCGAGGAAACCCTACAGGGGTCATTATGAGCTGGGGTCAGCGAGATGGCAGTGGGTTGGGTTTGGGGTTGGCATCACTTCTCGGAGTCTGGGAAAGGAGTCTCCTTCTGCAAAGCATTTCCCAGGCACCACAGTGGGATAAACGTGCACCCTTTTCCCTGAGCAGTCCCGCTATGACGCATCAGTCAGGTGCTGGCAGTTAGAGAAGGTTCGGCACTTGGCCAAGCTCACCTAGACCTCAGCTATAGAAAGTGGATCATTACATTTTTTTGAAAATCCCATATCCTCAAAGCAAAAACCAGGTGCCATCGAGTCAGTGCACCATCGAGTCAATGCACCTCAGGGCGGTCACTGACGGAGTTCCCAGAAGTGGATCACCAGGTCTTTCTTCCGAGGTGCGCCATAAGGCAGCCTGGAGCCTTCAGCCTTTCTGGTAGCAGCGGAGTGAACCAACCATTTGTACTCTATGGGGCCCCTTAAGATTGATTTAAATAACCACTTCCTTCGCATATTCTTTCACGCACGCACCCAAAGACAAATGTAACTCTTAGAGAACAGACTTGAGAACCCAAATTGTTTTCCTAAAAGAACAAAGTGGCAAAGGGACTTCCTAAAATCTGAATGGCAGAGACTGTAAGGTGTATAGCACAAGTATGTTATTTGGGGATGGTCCGTGTAGCCAACAGGAAGCCTGGGACATAGGTTCTTCTCAAATACAACCTGACCAATCTTCGAGGAATAGAAGCAACGTCAAGGTCAGAACCCAGACTTCCCATTTCCCTCTGGTTTCATCGTTGAACACTCACCTGGATGGTTCGGATAAAGGCCACTGTTACCCGTTCTTCAAATTCGTTCAGGGGCGTATAAAGATTTAAAATTTTGACAATCTGTTGGGAGACAAACATAAGCTTAGCTCAGAACTCAATGCACATAAGATGAGGACTTTTGAGCTTCTGTAAGAAATAGTTCAATGACGCTGGCACAGAGGATGCCTTTCTTTAGAGAAGACCCCCAGCTTAGACGGGTTTCAAAGACTTTATGCCTCGGAGTCCGACTACATTGGCTAGAAAGTAGATCCCACACACCCACTTCCCACTCCCACTGCCTACTCTCAAACTCTTTGCCTTAGAGAGTTGATTCTGATGAACGGTGACCCACAGGTCAGGGTAGACCTGCTCCCGTGGGATTGAGACCATAACTCTTTACAGGAATAGAAAGTCTCATCTTTCTCTCGGCAAGAGGCTGGTGGTTTTGAACTGTTGACCATGCAGTTAACAGCTCAACGCATAACCACTACACCACCAGGGCTCTGACGATGCCTGCTCACTTATTTAAAAGAATGAGGCTGTCCAAAGTCCCCAGCCTCTCATTGACCAGTCATTTCAAAGTCTCTTCAAGAGAGAACTCGGGAATTTATCTTAGATAAGGTCTTGTTAAACAGGACCACCCCCCCACAGACCACCCCCCAAAAAGGCCACTTTTAAAAGGAGCACATTTATTTGTGGGGGATCATCTTTTGTCTAGTGGTCTGCCATTAGGAGGCCAGGCCAGGCCAGGCCAGCTGCGTCCTAGAGGGGAGGTTCTGAAAGCAACCTGTCTACAGCGATGGAAAGGATGGGGAAACTTTAAGTACGTTTATGGAAGGAAACAGCTCTTAAGGGCATGCTGACTTCGCTGCACCAAGATGGATTCGTTTTGTGCTTCTGAGTTTGGTTCTGTTTGGACCGACCTTCGGCACATTCCTGCTGGAGAGCCGCATCTCGCTGTGTGCAGGAGGGGTACCTCTAGATGGACCGGGAATCTCTTTGCAACCAAGCCCGGCCCTTGTTGCTTTCCGACACTGGGTAGTTTGGAACAAAGGGAAGGCACATCTACCATTAAAAGGAACGTCTAAATTCCTCGAGGTCCCAAGGCTCACTAAGGAAGCCTGGGAAAGAATGGGGACACTTGAACGATGGTGTTGGTGAAGAAGACGGAAGTCCCACGCACTGCCTGAAGAAAGAACAGCCTGTCCTGGGAGAAGTGCAGTCAGAATGCTCCTAGGAAGCAGGGGAGTGAGCTTTGTCTCACTTACTTCTGACATGGAAAGGGTATCATGCTTGGTCAAGTAGAAGGTCACGCACGCACACGCACACGCAAGAGGAAGACTGTCAGTGAGATGGGCGGGCACAGGCTGCACCCATGCTCTCAGACCCCAAACAATCGTGAGGGCAGTGCAGGACTGGCCAGGGTTTCATCTGCTGTTAGTCTGGTCACCGTGAGTCAGAACAAGCCAAGCCAAAGGCCCTAATGCTCTCTTACACAACATGGAAGTACATCCCAATGATCATGGCATGACTGGGGTCAAAAAAGTATTTTTAATGCCAAATGCTAATGGTGCCAATTTCTGGGGGGGAAACATTTTAATCCTAAATTTTGAAGTGAAAACCACTCTAGAAGGCATTGTTTTCAAGTCTGTTTTTGCGTCAGCTTGGCGGTTTGTGGACCGACGACCGCTCTGAGTGGCCAGGCCAGCTTGGAGCGTCACTGCGAATGGTAACTGCAGTGTCTTGTTTCACAAAGAGGTCTTGGGTTCATTTGGGGGAAATCCCACTGGCTGACACAGAAGGCCTGTGCCCTTGAGGTGGCTGAAGGCTGGGAGGACCGTGCTGTAAGAGCCACTGCTGAGAACAGAAGCAAAGGGGAGAGAGGGCGCACCTGCTGGGTGCTGAGGGCGGTGCACAGCGAGCAGATGGCTTCTGCGTCCTCGGTGGTTTTCTTCTTCAGCTGCAGGAGCTGGGCGGCTTGGATCAGAGGCTCCATCGTCTGGGCGGCTCCACTCTGGTGGAGGTTTCTGCCGCGGAGCCACTCCTCCAGTTGACTGATATTGTACCTAAGAGACAGGTCGACAGTGAGCGGGCTGAGCCGGTCCCAGAGGCCACCTGCTGGGTCCATTGTGCAGTCTACTTAAGGCTGCTGTCATCCTCCTCCCCGCCTTAACGCCCTCACGCGAGGGAAAGCTTGGAAAGTGACCGCCACCCAGACGCTGTTGAATGGACGAGTGACCGAATGAATGAATAACATCCAGCCAAGAGAAAATATCACAGTCTCTGTATCCATTCATGTGTGTGCGCGCGGCGGGGGTGGGGGTGGGGGCCTTCAATTTACAGAATTAAAGCAATTCACATATTTCACATCCGCAGACAACTTTATCTTTTGATGTGAGCCTTCATGCCCCCGAACGCCTGGATTCCCTCCTGGACCTCATCACCTGGCATTTACCAGATGCAAAAAACCAGACCACACAGCTGTCTCTCCGTTGGAACTGGTTTGTTGAACCAGAGCTATTAGGTGGGCGTTGTTTCGTGGCTGGGCAGCGGGCTAGTGCCCTGCCGGGAGCAGCGGCCCCTCCCGTGGGCAGGCCGTGGCGCCCCTACCGGAGCTGCATGCCGGTGCTCCAGGAGCAGACGTCCTTGCGCAGCAGCAGGTTGTTGAGCGCCACCGCGGTGACCATGTAGAAGAGCTGCTTGAACACCTGCTGGATGATCTCGGGGTCCAGGCCCTGGTCGCACATGACCGTGTGGAAGGCGCTCATCTGGCGGATGACGGCTTCCAGGCAGTAGGTACTGTCCCCGTCCAGCGTGCTGGAGGAGCGCTTCCGGTAGCCGGTGGGCTTCACGCCAGAGAGACCCTGGATGCTCTCGTTCTCCAGCATGGCAGAAACTGCAAAGCAAAGCCCGGTTGGAAAGGACAGGCACCATCCGCTCTCGAGCTGGGCAGGCCTTGAGCAACGGTGCCAGCCCAGAGGCGGGCAGCAGCGCGGGGACATGCAGCCCTGGCCAGGCGAGGCACAGAATTTATACCCCACCAGTCTGCACGTGGTGCAAACAGCTGTGGAACACATCGTCCACATCAGTTAACTGCTGATGGGTCACGGGCAAGCGGATGCCCCAACAGCTCAATTCTGTCCTGCCTTCTGTGCCGAGGAGCTGCCCTGGCAGCGCTGTGGGTCCACTGGGCAGTGCCACCCTCCAAACCCTTCCAGGCAGGCAGAGCGCTGAGGCAGTCACTCGCATAGAGTGCCAGGGCAGCTCTAACGCTGTCCTGTGGGACCGCCACGAGCATGGCAGTGGGTTTTGGTTTTGGTTCGGGGCCGAGGGCCTAGAGTTTGAGAAATGGCTGCTGGGTGCAGATCACATACCCACATTAAGCGAGGAGCCCTGGCCTATGAGCCCACTGCATTCAGTAGCTTTGAGTCTTCCAACAGCCCTCCCTCCCTCACTGCCATTGGGTCAAGCACACAGTGGATTTGTTTATCAGAGCAGACAGCCTCATCTTTCTTCCACAGAGCAGCTGGGGGTTTCGAACCGCTAACCGGGCAATAAGCAGCCCAACTCCTAACCGCTGGTCACCAGGACTCCCTTATCACGGGCAAGGGGATTCTAATTTTTCACTGTCTAACCATTTACCCTTTTGGGATTTCTACTTGCTACCTACTAGAAATTCACTCACGTTGGAACAAAATTATAGTATTCTACAGAAAAAGGAGAAAGAGAAAGGGCGGAGATTCCCACTGCCCGTGACCCTGTCCTGTGGGATGGTATGGGCCAGCCACGGCTCCTCTTCTCAAGGCCTGCATCCCAGGGCCGGCGGGAGGCCCTCCTGAGTACAAAGGTGGTGATGGTGGGGCACACAAAATGTTCATGGAAAAACGGAATTTAAAAAGCATAGGCTTTTCTCCATGAACTTTTGGAAGCCCCCTTGTAGATCCAGCTCCTTAAGGGTACGCAGAAGCGCCCAGATGGCTCAACGAGGGAGCGCTTACCTGCGAACCAGGAGGTGGGCAGTTCAAACACACCCAGGTGGCTCTGGCACATGGGGTCACTATAGGTAGAAACTGAATCGGTGGCACCCAACCACCAATTGGCAGTGCTGGCCACGTCTCCCCCAGGCCCCAGGATGAGAGGTGGGGACCTCCTGTGGTCAGTTTACCGATCATGGGCTGTAATGCACCCTCGGCGATTTTGATGAGCTGCTGGTAGATCTGTATAGAGAGGTCGCTGAGCACCTGACGGTATTCCGTGAGGTCAAAGTTCCTGAGACAGTGCTCATTCTGCTTGGCAGTGTTCTGCGTCATGAAGCCCTGTGGAGGGAGGGAGAGGAGTCTGCTGTCCGTGCTCGGCTGGACGCCTGCCACTCCAGTCACATGGGCAAGCTTCCTATCCCTGCCGCCCCACCCAGTCTCTCTGTTCTTGAGAATGCTTGTAACACAGATGAACCCCTCAGGACCAGTAAGAGGAGCAGTGATCCTAGGAGAGTAAGGGTTGGAGGGGGGCAGTAAGGGGGAACTGATCATAATGATTGACATGTGGCCTCTCTCCCAGGGGGATGGACAGCAGAAAAGTGGGTGAAATGAGACCGCAGTTGCTATAAGACATGAAAAACAAAGAGTAACTTAAAAATTATCAAGGGGGCATGGAAGGGGGAGTGGGGAGAGGGAGGGGGGAAAATGAGGAATTGACTCCAGGGGCTCAAGTAGAAAGAAAATGTTTTGAAAAAGATGATGACAACATATGTACAGATGTGTTTTGACAAAATGGGCATATGTATGGATTGTGTTAAGAGCTGTAAGAGCCCCCAGTGAAATAAAATTAAAATTAAAAAAAGAATGTTCTGCCACCTCTGCACCCCCTGCTCCACCTCCCACCCCCAACGTAGTGGCCCTTGACCATTGAAGGTGGTGTGAAAACCCAGCACCACAGAGAAGTCAGGACCGTGTGTTCAGAATGGCAGGATTCGTGTAGTATGAATCATCCCTGAGGTGGGAAAGAAAAAAGGAAACGGTTCATTATATC